CTATTATTATATTTGAGGGTATAATAATCCACTAAAAAGTGGAGAGTAAAAGCGATTACATGTCTCCATATCCTCTTTATAATATTTATAGATTATTATGTATCTGTTTATTAAAATTGTTAATTTTTTTAATTTATCTAAATTATAAAGACGTTCTCGAACTTAGAAGCTTGTTCATATTGTTTCAATCATCTATTACTATGTTCACTTCGACGAAGAGAATTTGTTAATATTCGTAAAGATCAAGACATAAAATAATGAATGTGGCAACTTAATTAGTTTCTGAGTACGATTTCTATATGATCAAGAACGTAATGAATGTGAGATTGTGAGGTAATAAATCGACTATAGGTTAAATCTATTGTGTGCAGTAGTAGTAGTACGGCCGGTGAAGTTAACAAAACTCTCATTTTTAGGTCCCTTAAAAAAAATATTTAATAATAATATTTATATAATTATTTTTAAAGTTTTATAACTTAAAAATTATTTTTTTTTTCATTCTTAAAAATTTACTTTAAAAAGTCTATTTCTAAAATATATACAATATAATTATTTTTTAAATATTCATAATATTTTAATTTTTTATTAAAAGATATCATTATTAATTTAAAAAAATCTTATTTAAAATTTATTTAAAGTCTAATAATATGACTATTTTTTTTTTTTACATATACAAGAAATATCTCAATCAAATTGTGACATTGTTGTTAACTTGATCATTTTATGAAATTTCCAACTTTAATACTCTTTGAAGCAAAATAACCATGATTAAGACAAAACAATCGACCTTAAGTTCAAAGAACACTGTAATAGGCTCTTAATCTTTGATGAGAAATTGATGCTCTTCATGTGTCTTTTACAAGCGAGAGAAACGTGCACCTTATTTTATTATAAAATCAACTTCTTATTATACAAATTCTTAATAGACAAGGTAATCACCAAAAGAAAGAAGAAAAAAAACTCAGACTCGATCGGAAAATACTACTATTATACAACATTCAACTTCTACCATCTGTAGTTAGGTTTCCTTTTAAATTCAAAGAGAGTTAAAAAGAATAAAACATTAAAAAAAAAAAAAAATCTTTCAAGTTTGTAAGGATTGAAAGGCTCTTGGAGGAGCAGGTTGGAAATATGACAACAGTCCAAATAATTTCTTGGAGTGGTAATGGAACAACCAATTGGATCGAGTTTTTGTTCCATTTTATATCATGATAAAGTCAATCACAAGATTATTAGTTATTAAAAACTATTATTTATAAGAGAAGAGGTCAATTTAGCCACGACAGAAACAATTGTTTTCTCTTTGACAGAAGATCTTCCATGACTATCACTTTAATCCTATATTAATTCATCTTACAAGGATCACTGTTATAAAATGTTGTCATTATCTTGGATCAACATTTCGTACGCAATAAGTAAAGTCCTTGTAGTGTACAAAGGAAAATTCATGGAAGTTTGGAATTACAAGGACATTATCATTACTTAATTATAAAAACGACTTTATGAGGGTTAGACAATAGGCATTAAGAGTGACAATTTCTGTCGCTTAAAACCACATTGATTGGGTGATTAATTAAACCAATTGATTAATTTGTTGGATTACTACCTCCTATCTTATATAAAAGAATTAATTACGTAATTCATTAAGATTAAGAAAATAATTAATTAAATTAATAATAATAAATTTATCATATATTAATATTTAATCTCTTTTTTAATTAATACTCATATATTTTTTAACTACATTTCTCTTTTAATTTATGCTTATTCTTCTCCTAATCAATTAAAATACATACTCTTCAAAAAATATTATAATTAATGCTCAAAGATATTATAATTAATGCATTTTATCAAATTAAGAGAGTATACTTTAATTAGAGATATTATAGTTTAAAAATAATTATTATATGAGACAATATCAATTATGTCTTATATAAAAAAATAAATAATAATTGTTCTAAGTTGATCATATTATCTTTATCATGAGAAACATGTCTTTATTTTGATGGAGTGTTAATAAAATTAGATTAGATCATTCAAGTTAATCTATTTAATTAGAAATAGGATCTATATGTAATTTAATTATTTTTTTAAATCTAAAATATATTGAATGTGTGACATATTCAACTTGATTTTCAATTATGCAATATACAATTTAGATCTTCTCCATTTCTTGTAGTTTCAAGAGTATAATATATTTTATGTCTTATAATAATTGTTGTTTTAAATTATTTTATACTGATAAAATAATTAATAAATACAAAATAATAATTTTATAAAATTAATTTTATAATTAATCTTCTTTAATATAAATGATGCAACACAAAATCATTTTCTAAAAATTTATGAGAAGTATAAATGAAAAAAAAAGTAATTAATATACTATATTAAAAAGTTAACATGACATTTTTTTTAATTTATTTTTTCTTCAAACACAATATTTATTATAAAATAAAAAAGCACATTAAATATCATTCATGAAAATATTAATGTCTTACATACACTCAAAACTTTAGTAATGGACATTATTATCCAAAATAAAAAATTTATTTATTTTTTCTTCAAAAACAATTTTATTATAAAATAAAAAAGTACATTAAATATCATTCATGAAAATATTAATGTCTTACATAACACTCAAAACTTTAGTAATGGACACTTTAAAGATCTAGAATCCAAAATCCAAAATAAATAATGACTGTTAAAGGTCAATATATATTATCCAATACACAATCAACTTGCACATAACTAAGTTTAACTCAACTAATTAAAAAATGTAAGTTGTTATAACTCCTTATACTTCAAAATATTTGCCGGTGATCACTACTTTATCAACCACTTGTGATTGTCTTTGAAACCACAACCCAACTTCCATACATATATATCAACCTACATCATTCATATCGAATGATAAAATTTCAAATAATACTACGTACTTCACCTTAAGATAGTCAAATTAGTAGAGTTTATATATATATATATACTTTTAAATATCCCATGATTTATAAATTATTGATCAACATCTTAAAACTGAGTGAAATTTTGATATCACTGATCCAATTATCCACAAAATCACTTTTTCTTCCACTTACTACATAATAAATAAATAACTTCCCAATGCATGCATGGATATGCATCCCACCATATGATGCAAAGTGCAACATCTACACCTGGAAAATATTTATAGAATAACTACAAATCAACTTCTACAAAAGAATAAGAAAATATAAAATTAGTGGAAACAAAACTGTCATAACATTTTCAATATCTTATATCTTTTATAGACACAGCCTAGCGTTAATGCAAAGAATGTAATAGGGGACAAAGATTCGTGCAAGGATGGTAGGCAGTATAGATTGACATAACGATTGAAAGGGCCCCTATGAAAAACACTATATAACTAATTGTACAGTAGAGTAGTACCCATGTACTTAATAATTAAACAGTTTTTTTATTTTTAGTTTAATTACTTTTTTATTTTATAATTTTATCAACTTTACATTTTTATCCTGTAACTAAAAATATTTTATTTTATTTACATTTTTTTTATTTAAAACATGAATATCTTTTATTAGAGATGTTTGAATCATGTGAGATAATAAGTATTTAATATTCTTGCATGTTGAAGATTCAAAATTATTAGTTGAGTTAAAAAAAATTACCGGTTAATTCACATGCTATTATTTAATTTTAAGTTATTACTATTGCATGCTTGAATAAAGGCACCAAAACTGTTTTAACATTGATAATTATCATTTTTTTTATGATATTTGATTGTGTTAGATTTTAATTTCCCTTTACTAAGAACAAGGACAGGTGAGTGTAGAGAAGCACCGAAGAAATGGGACTCAACAACTGTGTCGTACAAATCATGTTACCCACTCTTAGTACTTTCCACTTGACGCGTCTCTCTTCCAATTTTGGATTTCATATTTCATGAGTCGTTTTTCTTCCTCTACCGACAACCTTTCTGTCCTTTGTTCTTTTTCCAATTAAATATCGACACCACTTTATTTTATTTGATAAAGAATATCTAATAATTGTTTTACGGAATAAAATTGAAAAGTGACTCCAATGGATATCCTACAGGTTGTCAAGTGAATCACTATGATATTGCAAGATATTTTTATTTAGTTATTGACAATGACCTTTCCTTTTAACAAAAATGTCATAAAAAATGTTGAAGCCTAGACAAAAATTATGTGAAATCTGAACTTGACTTTAAGGAAAAACTCTTATTTTTCATTGTTATACAAATTTAGGTTATCTTATTTTGAAATAAAAACTTTTAATCGATAAGTAATTCATTCCAATGAAATTGAATTTGTTTTCGTTAAACAAAGATTAGATGAGGCAAATTTAGGTTATCTTATTTACTTTACTTTTCATCATTTTTTCAGGGGCGGGAGGGAGAGTACATTACATTCCTATGTCCACATGTGAATTATATTTTAGTATTGAAATTATCAAATTTCGAAATTGAATTCAATGATGGTTTCTTGGCCTCCAATGATCAGTTTCTCCTTTCTTTTCACTGTCAATTATTATTGCACATGCCATTGTTTCTCTGGTTAAAAGTTAATCAGCTGGCATAACACCTTTCCAACCTCATCTTATTCGTGTCAAGACAAACGCTTCAAAACAATATAATTCAAGGGAAATAGAAAGAAAGAAAGCGATCACATTTTGATTTTTTTTCGAACAGCCAAAAAAATCAAATTAGCAAATAAACAAAAATTAAGATAGTAAGAGGACTAACTCACACAATAATTTTAATTTCTTATAAAAAAATTATAAATTTAATCCACACAATAGAACCTCTTTTGTTATTATTCATACTCAATAAAAAAATTAAATTTAACTCTGTACATTATACTTTTTTGTTTCATCCAAATAATCACGGTAATTTCTTTTTTGGCATTATTAATTTTAAGATTTGGCTCTGAATCTCCCGCACATTTTTCTGTCCACCTAGGAAATGTGGAAATCATAACACGGACCACGGACCAATCCCTTCGTCCTGCTTGCAATTCAGTTCTCTGGAATAAAATAAAATAAAACCTTGGTTCACAGTATTAATTAGTAAAGCAGAAAACAAAGAAAACTGGAAGGCAAAGAGGAGGTTCTGAACACTGAAAATGAAATCATCTTTACAAAATATAATGCTCATTATGTTCACATCATCATCAGGAGCTAAACAAAAACTTCTAAACATACGCATCCAAAACTTACTCAGCTCTTTCGCTATATACAAACTTATACTTTGTTACAACATTAATCGTGAAAAAAAAAAAAAAAAAAAAAAAAAAAAATTTCCCTCCTTCTGGTTATTTAAAAAAGTACATTCTAATTACACTTGAATTTCCTTGTTGGTTGCTTCACATCTGTACGTTCGGACCACTCGTCTGTTGAATTCAATCATCCGAAGCAGCAGAGAAATGAAGGTTTGTATATAGCTATGATACAGTTTTTGATATTTAGAAGTGGAGTTTTATTTGACCAAAAATAAAGGTGTTTATGTTTGTTTTTTGGTCAGGAATCTAAAGAGAAAGGTGTTTGCAAGAGATCATAAGGTGCCCAAAGTGCATCCAAAGGACAAGGCCTATTAGCGTCCAACCTGACCCAAGGTTTCCCCTTGCCACTCCAATGCAACAAACTAACAGGACCAGGGTGGAGATCCCGACACAGACCACGAAAGTTGTCCCCTCCGAGACCGTGCTGGTTCCACCTATGATCCACGGGAACAATGTTCCCAGCAAACACAAGCAAAAACGGGGGCAACGACCCCAGTTCGTAGATTCTCATCCTCTTCTGCACCTCCATCCACTCCTCAATCTTCGTGGTGTAGTCCCCCAGGCGCCACCGCTCCAGGTGGATGACCATGACCCCCGTGTTGAAGTAGCAGGCGTTCCGGTCGGCGAAGGTGAGAGAGAGAGAAGGGTTGGACCAGAAGGTGGGGGTGAAGTAGGAGGTGAAATTGGCGTTGCAGTACTCGGGTGCCGCCAAGACTGCGTTTTTGTGTAAGGGGGTTTTCGCGAGCTTGGCGATGTCGTCGACGAGTACGAGGTCGGAGTCGAGGTATACGACGCGCTTCACGCAGAGGGGGAGGAGGTTGGGGAGGTAGCTGCGGGCGTAGTTGAGGGGGCAATCGAGTGCGGCGCGGATGGAGGTGGAGATGAGCCCCGCAACGACGTCGTGGCGGAAGGGGTAGAGATGGAAGTTTAGGTAGGGGAAGGTGGTGGAGATTGTGGAGTGGAGGAGGGTGGTGCTGTTGGAGGAGGCTACGAAGTGGAAGAAGATGTTTTGGGGGCATGACGAGTGTTGGAGGACGGACAGGATGGCCGCCATGGATCCTCGGAGGTAGGTTCTGTCGAGGGTCATTGCCACCTGTACGCCTTCCTCCGAGCAGAGGATGTCGTTTTTTTCTATTGAGGGGCAGTGTCGGGAGTTGTAGAATTCCGGGGCTTCTTTGAATTTCAGTTTGTTAGTGTTTGTGTTTGAGTTTGAGAGACATGGGGTGAAGAAGAGGGAGAGAGTGATGGGAAGTAGTAATAGTAAGTGGTTCATTGTGTGGTTGGTTGAGAATTCAGAATTCAGAATTCAGAATTGAGAATTGAGAATTGAGAATGAGAAGAGAGGGATCTATGGGTGGCTTATAATTGGATAGTGTGAGGTTTAGGACACGCTTTTGAGGTTAAAATAATGCTAAAATAAGAGAGCTAGCCTGGCTAGAGAGGGGGAATTAAGTGAGGAATATATGTGGATTGATGAAGGGGAAGTTGGTGGAATGGAATGAATGGATGGAATATGAGATTCACGTTAATTGGTTTTGTTTTTTTTAGTTTCTTTATGGGGTATGGGATGGGGACCCTTGTCAACTCTCTTCGTGTCTTCTTAACTTATGCTTTGTAATTTTATGGGCTGTGTAGTTAGTATTAATTTTGGATTGAATCTTGGATGGGAAGACCCTCATTCACTACTTCCAAATACATGGTACGTATCTGTTGTAGTGTGCAGACATGAATGGGGAAATGTATCTAATGTGACAGTCAAACAGTAAGTGTGTTAGTCTTAACAAGAAAATTAAGTACTAATAGTATGGTTGGATTCACACTAATTTATATTTTTAAATAGTCTTCACATAAAAATTAACTACGAATAGCATCTCTGGATTCACATCGATTAAAATTGAATGGAGATTGGTAAAAGTAATAATCTGATTATTTTTTAGATCAATTTTGATGTGATTCTTGTTTAAAAGTGGTGAGATCAAACATGCATTAACCGTGTGTATTTGAAACTAAGTCAATTTTGATTCACGTTTGCATGTTTGGACCATTCTCCACAGCGCACATAAATATACAAATTCGGGTTTGAGACCTGGTTTTTAATGTTTTGAAAGAAGTTAATAGCATAACTGAATAAAACTGATGTGATTTCTTACTTTATAACAGGTTTCTAAACATAAAAGTAACTTTAAGATGGATCCACATTGAGACTCCTCGATAGACATAAAACCAAACACGATATAATTAACACGCATATTACATTAATTGACATGGATTTTAGCTTTACCTTTTGAATATTATGTCTGTGTTTTTTTTGTTTTGTTTGTTCTTTCTTTTAATCAATTGTGTGATATCATTGTTCATAAAATTTGTGCGCATAATATGTGTTTGATTCAGATTTCTAAAGCCAATGGCAGTAGAAGACTTTTTTTTTTTTTTTTTCTCTTTTGATATTTGTGTCTCCAAATGTGTACTTTCTCTGTTTTTGTTTGGAAGCAATTTGGCAGAGGAAGCCCTCAAACTTCCCATTAGTAATTGAATTGAAAATTTAAAATGGTTGAGACTACTTTATGATAAAGTAACAGTGACACAACACTGGTAAAGAGCATATATCCTTGAAGGTAAACAGCAAACATATTTGCAGCGTATCTTGCATCTAACGTTGTCTTTACGGTTATCTTTATATTGCACTTGCACATTCAATGTTGTTCATGGTTCATGGTCAAGCTATGTAATTTCATTTTCATTTTTCTTTTTCCTAACAGTGGAACTATGACGCATTCATCCGAAAACTATGTCGCAGCTACCCAATCTTCCACTGGCAGCATTACCACGGAAAGATTTCTAAATTAAACAAATCCACTAGGAATGATTAAATTTACAGGAATGATGGTAATATTGAATACTCTTTTCAACACATTCTTTTCTATTAGATCAAATTTAGGTTAATATCTTATTAATAGAGTGAGACGTACATAAACTCACCGAATAAAAATGATTGAAATGAAAATAAAAGTGTGTTGTTTACATTTTCATATTTTTTATATGTTAAAAAACATAAATAGGTTTTAAGGTGATGTTTGATGTAAGAAATGTGAATGTTTAAACAGGTTTTAGATATAAAAATATAAATAGGTTTTAAGAAATGGGGATGTTTAAACATTTTCAGAAAATTTGTTAATTATTATATAATATGTTGATAGAAAACTTAAATTGTGTGTAAAAAATTTAAATTGTAATATTTTGAGACGGAGGACGTATGATAATATTAAATATGATATGGATTAAAAAGCATTACATAGCAGGGTGATAATTCTATATAAATGTAAATTATTATATTATCAAATATAGTAACGAATTAATTTAGAAAAAGTAAGCTAATGGACCAAAATTTACTCTGTCTGCAGCTTACAATGAGTCACTTTCTTAATTAGCCCAATTCAATCCTAAAATACATTTGTATTTTAATTGGCTCATTTATTTGATAGCTGGTTTATTAACGCCGTCTTCATTTAATTGACATGCTTGGTTAAAAAAAAATAATAAAATAATATTCACTGGCAATAGTATCAGTAACGGATTTTGTGTGTTAGATTTACTAATGTTATTTGGACAGAGAAATTGAAATAGCTTTTTTTTTTCTCTTCAAATTACATGACTAAAATAATTAATTTTAAATTTGATAGAGCCAAAACAAATGTATTTCATAATTAAGGAACTAAATACATATTTAAATTTAATTAAGTTTATCTTTTGAAAATTTCAACATACAAAAGTTTATAAATACACACTCGTACGAAGGCAAATGTCAACGATTTTCCAATATGTCGTCTACACGAACAGAAGTGGAATTAATTAAAAAGAAAACCTCGTTGGTTACATGCTCTATATTTTAATTGTAGTTAATCAACCTAAGTATAATATATTAATTATGCTTACATGTTTTCGTAGTCAATGTCAACAGTATGGTCATTAATTTGGTTTGCTTATAGATTCAAACTCCGTCAGCACATAGACCAATATAATAAGTACTTCTCGATCTCGAGTGATTATTATCATTATTAAGGGAATGGGAACCAATGCTTCATTAATTCAATTAAAATGATCTTCTAACCCTGAAGTTATACCCCACTAACACCATCAAGACTCATTTAATTATTTTATGAAAAATGTTAGACATGAGATCCATAAACTAGTGTTGCTCTCGTACTCAATCTTAGGAACCTTAAAATACAATGAAATCGAGTAAGAAAAAGTGGAACGCAACACGTACGTAGTTTGCAAGCATCAGAACCTTTTAATCACGTTTGACACATTGCAGCATCTTCATTACTTGTCTAAACTTAAAAATATCAATTATATATAATTAACCATCCTTCGTTCATATGAGAAAGCATTTTTATATGAAGCTTCAAGGCACCAACCCCACATGAAAAGAAAATAAATACATATTATAAGGAAATACCGCCAATGACATATATTTCGAATAAGAGAAGAATTTGTGAGCCTTTGCCGGTGTCAGAAAAAAAGGACAAATATTACATTATGAATGGCAACAAAGGATTGAACTTAGGTTTGAAGTTTGAAACTATGAAGTGAAACCGCGTAAAAAGCACGTGGTCGTACACAAAGGAAGACAAGTTTTCTGTGTTTGGCCCCTGCACTGGAATCATTTTTTTTTTCATTTATATTTTGTTTTTTTCCCAAGAAAAATCACTAAAGTTCAAAACATAGGGTCACTATTCACCGGCATTTGAATCACAACCGAAAAAGTATAACACGCTTGACCTCACAATGGTCTCAAAAGTCATGTGTTTAAATTTATGAGTTGGTTATTGGTCTACATACTCAAGCCATACCACTCTGGCTGTTCAATGTTCAAACTATGACATGTACACTTTCTATTTTCCATTTAACTTTAACCGTACCTTAGTTCATGTACGTATATATTGTCGGTGCTATGCTTAGAGCAACCCAATCAAATTCATTTCATGGCACAAATTTATTTTTATTAAAAAATTTAAATTTCAGATCAACTAATAATAAAGCTAAAACATAATACATTATAAATAAAAATAATTATCATCTTACACAGCAGTGTTATAAAATTTTGTTATATTTAAAACTCACATTTTATAATAATATCATATTCTATCTTAAGCTTATTTTTGGTAAGGGAGGATATTTAAATTCTTGAGCAAAACTAAGAGTCAAAGCTTGATCAAATCGATTATGAGGCTACTCCTGTTTTATTATTTGTTCATGAGTTTTGGTATTTCTTGTAACACTTGAATATATCTCTTCGCCGATAGAGAAAGAAAAAAAAGTTGTTTAGTTTAGACTATTGAAGAGTCTAGTTGATGGATGGCGTAGTTCTGCTTTTACTTTTTTAGTGAATAAGTACGCGCAAGTACTGGTGAGAATTGGTGCCAACCATGCATGTCGAAAAAGTACAAAAATCCAACATTTTCCCATTACAGCATTACGAGTAGGAGTGGGTCGCATTCACCATGCAGTCATGCAGACGGATGAAAATTACATCTTTCCGATTTCTTATCTCACTTCTTCCAAATTAAGTCACATCAATTAAAATATATACATTAATTTTTCAATATTTTAATACTGTTAAAGTAATTTTTATCACTCATATTGTTCACAAGTAAATATCAGTCACCTCTCCTTCTTTACCTCATGACTACCACCTCTTCTCTTTTCTTGTATTTTTTACCCTTTCTTATGTTTGTTGATCCACAATCTTTTAGATAAAATATGAAAAACAAAAGAAAAATATATATAGAAAACTTACGATGATGGGATTATTTTTATAGTATTTATCTAAGGGAATATTTTATATAGATTATTTTTTATAAGATTATTACACAAGAATACTTTACAATGATGAGATATTGTCTGATTTGGGCCTAAATACTCACAGTTTTACTTTTCGTCATTATCCAATAAGTCTCTATATCATTGAAGTATGTTTGTGTTATACAAGTTGTTATTTCTTATCTTATTTTATTGATATGGGACTTGTTTGTATCCTAACATACAACTATGGATGAATATATGAACACAAAAAATAAAATAAAAAAGTATATAAACACGTTAATTTTGTCCACATTTGTAAAGTAAATTAATTTAATCTTATAAAACAAGTTTATTATTTTTAAAAAGTAAATTCATTAAATCTTATAAAACTATCTATTTGAGATTAAAATTGTTTTTATTTATACATTATTGTGATTATTTGATGTAAAATTTTCATATATTATCATAAAAATATATAAGGCGATGGTAAGTGCATTTATTTATTTAAACCCTTGTTTATATAGGTAGATAATGATAAAGATAAGTTACTCCACAACAACTTAAGATTTTAAATCCAGATAGTTCAGACCTTTGAGCAAAAGCGGAATTCAAACACACTGAACCAAAGATCATCTATTAATCATAGTTAAGTA